CTAGAGGAAAAGATTGCCAATGTGGTTGTCATGAGAAGAGAGACAATGGAACAGCACGCAGGCAACTCTAAGGAAAGAAGGATGGCGAGGTGTTCCAAACAGTTAATAAACCCAAACTATGTTATTAAGTTTTGTGATGAATTTAATCCTTTAAATCTGTGTAACAGTAATAATTTTTTTTCACTCATTTAAATGTACATTCATTTTCGTTGCCTCATTCCATACCCTTTCTGAATGCACCCAAAGCATTTATGAAATGCACTACGTCACTTTCTTCAAGCTCCTTCACATGGCGTATTTGACAGCATCAGTGCTCTCGGTGAAATGGGAGATAATGCCACCTGTGTGTTAAGGAGAGAGGACAGCAGTGGCGGCTCACTTTAGACAAGGAGAAGAGACCCAGGCGCAAAAGAGAGCTGGAGATAGTGAAAGGTCCAGCTGAGACTGGAAGTACAAAACCCTGTTCCAGCCAGTCCACACTGACATCCCCAATTCTCCTGCCTAGTTCCAGTGCGGGAGTGTGACGGTCAGAGCGGCCGGGGCTGGTGGTTTGTAGATCAGGGACCCTTGGACAGCAGCACAGAGGGAAGTGGAGGGGGTGGGGAAGGACTCTAACAACCATCAATCATAAGAACCAGGGAAGGTCAAGGAAAGTATGAGTTATGGGGTAGAAAGAACTGGCTAAAAATATAGAATAAGAACATGAGGTTATGATAAGGCCATGTAAATATTTGCTTTAGAATCCAATTTGGATTTTTTTTCCTATGTAAGGCATAAGAAAAGCTCACTATTTCAAAAAGAAAACTATTCTAAAAATAAACCTGCCAGCAACCCTACGGCTAGGTGTATACCCAAAGGAATTGAAAGCAGGGCTTGAGCAGATACTCGTGGCCCGATGTTCAATGCAGCCTTATTCAAAATAGCCAAATGATGGACACCCACGTGTCCATCAAGAGGTGAATGAGAGAAATAAACAAAATGTGGTACATCCAGACGATGGAATATTATTCAGCCATAGAAAGAAATGAAATTCTGATACATACTATAACGTGGATGAACCTTACAGACGTTACACTAAGTGAAATAAGTCAGACACAAAAGGAAAATTTGTATGGTTCCACTTATGGGAAACATCTAGAGTAGGCAGATTCACAGAGACAGGAAGTGGACTAGAGGTTGCCGGCGCCTGAGAGCAGGGGGAAGTGGGGACCTCTTGCCTCGTACTTAGAGGTTCTCTCTGGGGTGATGAAAATGATGGGAATAGCAGTGATGATTACACATCATAAATGTAATGAATGCCACCGATTTGTACACCCCTGAGTACCACTGTAAGTGATATTAAAAAGAATATTGGGCTTAAAAAAAAGAATATTGGGGAGTAAACATATTAAGAAGTGGCCAAGAACTATTTTAAGAAACCTTAAAACGGGAAGGACATCAGAGAAGACTTGAATAGATTAAAAAAGCATTTTCTTGGCTAAGACTCCATCTTGTACGTATCACCCCTAATCTGATGTATATACATTTAATACAAAACTAATCAAACATCAACAGGTATCCTGCAGTGGTTTTTTTTTTTCAAAGTTGATAAAATAATACCAAAGTTTGTACGGAAAAGTAAACTTCAGGAATAGCCAGGAAAATTCTGAAGGACTAAAGATGGAAGACTAGTCCTACCAGAGAATAAAACATAGTAAAGGCAACCATTAACCCGGTTTAGTGTAGGAAAAGGAGGGGGAAAATCAATGACAAAAGCAAGTTCAAAAAGAGACCCAAATACTTAAAGAAATTAAGTAGGTCACGAAATGGAAACATCCAATCAGTGGCAAAGCGATGGATAAGTTAGTGACAGGTTCTGGGGTAACCAGCTCGTCACTGAAGAGGTGAATAAAGTTAAATCCCTACCTCACTCGTAACAACAGTTACAAAAATTCCGTGCACCTCAACATTTAAATGTCAAATACGAAATCGAAGATCTAAAGCACTCCACGAGAATCTCTTCGCACTACGAGAGTGGGGAAGCAAGCAGCCAGGAGAGAGGCTGAATAAGACCAGTTCCCGTGACCTTCACAAGCCACGACCCCTCTCACCCAAGTCGCTGCAAAAGCCTTCTGATCGGTTTTTCTTCCCTGCCCTGGGGCTGCCTCCCAGAGTCATCAGCTGCTCTGCTCAGCTCAGTTCTACAACGAGTTCCCGTTTCTTTCAGGGTAAAAGCCAGTCAGTCTTACAACGGCCCCTGAGGCCCCAGGGGTCATCAGTTCACCATTATCTCTCTGACATCATCTCCTATTACTCTCTCCCCTCACTTACTGAGCTCCAGCCACACCGGCCTCCTCGCCAGTCCTTAAAAATGCCGTGCACTTTCCCAGGATGCACTCTGCATCCAGGACGGCTCTGGCCCTGGATATCCCACATGGCTTTTGAGAACCTTAAATCTTTGTCACAGCTTCGCCTGATCCTCAAGGAGGACTATATACTGGGACGGGCAGAAGAAACACCTGCTTGAGTGTGGACGGTAGGGTAATAAAATGGGTGTAATACTTTATAGTTGTAATTTGAACATTTCACCTAAAATGGCATATGGGGTGCTCCAGTGTGATATTGTTATGTTATAGAATGACATGCTTATGATTTTGTAATGAAAGATTTTGTAATAAAAGGGCGTTATTTGTGCTGGACCCTGTCTATATAATACCAAGCATATCAAAGGAACGTACTAAATATTTGTGGAATTATTTGTGAATAAACAAACAATGTGGGTAATGTCAAATAATGTCTGAAGCAATTATAGTAATGCCTTATAGGTTTTTTTTCCCCAAGAGGGAAGTAGGATGCATTCAGAAATCTAAATCCAAGAGAACAAAAATGCATGACACAGTATCACATATGTCAAGAGGGATGTTCTGGTTGTATGGAAGAAGTCAAGATATTGATGAATTTGAAATTATTGTAAGTTAAAACAGAATGTTCAAGTTTTTTTGAGGGCCGGACATCTGGGAGTATGTACTGTGTGAACGTATTTATATAAAGTGAAAAAAAAAAAGTGAAACTAACCTATGGTGATAGAGGTCAGGACGGTGGTTAACCCGAGGGGTAGAAGAAGGTTAATGACTAGGAGGGAGTCTGGGAGGCGTCGGGGGTGCCGTGTGTTGGTTACAGGGGTGTATTCACTTTGCATAAAATTTTCTGAGCCATACACTGTGCTCAGAAAAGCTGTGCTTTTTTGGGGGGGCGGGGGAGGTACATATTTTATACTTCAGTAGGTAACCAGAAATGAGGTAAAAATACAGTGAATAACTTCTAAACTGGGGAGAAAAGGAGAAATAAGGAAAAAATACCCCTCAAACAATCCAAAAGAAAGTAATAAAGGGAAGACAAAACAGAAAAGGTGGACAAATCGATTATTAGAAAATAAGATGGTTGAAACTAATTGATGTGTATCCAGAATTGTGATGAATGAGATTGAATAAATACAGCAGTTAAAAGACAAAAATGTTCAAACTAGATTTTTTTTTAAAAATCCACCTACAGGGGACACATTTATATATATGTTGAAATTAAAGCACTCTGAAAGAGAATTTAAAAAATTTTAAAAGTGACAGAACTACAAAGAGAAATACATAAACAACTCTGTCAACAATAGAATAAACTGACAAAAAATTAGGAAGGATAACAAAAACATCAACAGCCCCATTGATAAGCTTAATCTAATGAACACATATACAGATTATATACAACAAGAACACATGGAGTATTTGTTCACGTTGGTATATGCCGGGCTCTAAGATTAGGTTCAGTGAATTTTAGGGGATCGGTATCATACAGACTATGTTCTCTAAACAGATGCAAATGTGTTAGAAACCAACAAACTAGACAAATGCTTAAGTTCAATCATTGAAAAACCCACTTCTGAATATTTCAAGGGGCAAAGAGCAATAAAAATAAGCATATTTAGAAGCAAACTATCATCCATATATTACATATTAAAACTTAGCAGATGGAACTACAGCAACATGAAGGAAATGTATGACCGTGAGTGTTTATATTCAAAAAGGAGAAGGCCGGATTAGAAAGCTAAGCTCCAAATAAAGGAAGGAAATAACAGAGAAGGGAACAGAGAGCTCCGAGGAGAACAGACCTCCAAGAGAGGGCTCAGCATCCTCACGCCCAGTCCTGCAGCAGTCAAACCCGTAACAAAAACACCACAAGCAACATTGTAACCATACGTTTGAGAGTTTAATGAAATAGACACATTCTTAGATAAGCCTAGATCATATTTTTCGATACATGGAGTGTATTTTAGTATATAGATTTTAACACTTACGGTTAAGTTGAGACTAGAACATACTTAAAAAAAAAAAAAAGTCCATACCGCCCATACCATTTATAGGCAGAAAGACCTGTGTTTCTTTAACTTCAAAACTCAGGTGACTGAGCAGAAAAACTGTGGGTTGTTTTTTTTTTTTTTTTTAACCCACAGCAGAGACAGGAAACCCCACCTGAGTGCTGTGGATGCCTGAAAAGGTCACAGCATCAGCAGGACGAAGCAGTTCAGGTGGCAGGCCAGAAGGAACAGCAAGCACTGCCCCAGACGGGAGAATGACAGCTCACGTTTGCACCCTGCTCCCGAGGCCCACGGATGTTCTCCCCTGCACTTCAGCTCTTTGTACGAACACACACTGTCTCACCTTCAGTATCAATAATAGTAATGGCTACCACTCCCTGGACAATGTGATACCTTACGTGGGTTCTTTCTCACCCTTACAGCACAGCCAGGGCTGCTGGTCCAGTTTTACAAATGGATAGACTAGTGGAGTACCTTGTTCATGGGCTCAGTCTTCACCAGCCAGAGACCAAGGCTCAAGGCCAAGTCTCTCTGATGCCTCTTTTCAGCTGTCCCTTGAAACCCAGAGGCTCTAGGAAGTCGTCCATACAGCACAGGGAGCCCAAAGCAGGCTCCATCCAAGACCAGCCTGCCGCAGCCCACACAAAGCACCCACCTTCCGAATAACATCTCGCACAGCAAAATACTTCTCGGTGAGGTCTCCCGCCTCGCTCAGGGGGGCGTCATAGTCGTAGCTGGTGGGCTGTGCTTGGTAGGGCATGTTGGCCCCTAGAAGACAAAAAATGTGCCATGAGTTACCACTAAAGGCCCTGGCCTCGGACAGATTCTTTGGGACCCATGGGCTCAGTGATATGGAGGGAGAAAAGAAAACACACATTTGAACCAATTGTTAAGCAACACAGAGGTGCCCTTCTGGATGCAAGGTTTAGAGAAATGAGTTTCCTTCTACAGGAAGCCCGTGCCAAGCACCGTGGAGCCTACAGAGCACTCCCCCCTCCCCCACCCCCGCAGAGCTCACAGTTCTGACATCAGCAGATATCGCTGTCACGGCACGAGCAGAGCATCTGACACTCGCTACTAAACTCGCTCATCACCACTGGTCACGGAAGGGCTTATGGCACGACCTGCATCTCTGACAGTTTAGTCCTGCGATCTTTTTCATGACCTTGAACTGTGTGGCTGAGAAAAGGTCAGTGGTGGAGACACAGGTGACTAGGCCAGGGACAAGCAGGTAACAACGGAGGGTCACCAGACCAAACAAGGTGGGAGATGACCGCACACACAGATGAACCCACAGAGATTCCCATATAGCCTTAAGGCCTTTGCAAAGACTGAGGGGGTGCTGGGGTGTGCCTCTCGCATCCCCCTTTGGGACTAAGGCACTCACGTGTTCCCCCAGCCACTGGGAGAGTTGGCTGCTGACGGCTCTCGGGTGTGTCCCTCTCTAGCCCCTGTGCCTCAGAGGGCCTTCCCAGCCCCGTCGAGAGCTCCATCTAGAATCAGCTGAGCCACGTTTGAATCCACACTATAGCCCAGTGTCTCCTTCTGCTCAGTCCTGCCTCCCACACTCTCTCCCAGGTGCCTGTGGAACCCTCAGAGCACAACCCAGTCACCTTCCTGCTGGGTCATCTCAGAGTCTGTTTCCCCGGGAATGCAACCTGTGACAGAGAGCAACAAATAATGCCAATGCTGTGCGTCCGCAAAGACTCGGAAAGCAAGTGTCCTTGCAGTGATTGCTGAGGGAGCAGAGCCTCGAACAGAGGACTCCAACCTTGTCACACGTGACATTTACAGGTGGGAGACTGTGTGTAGTATAGGGCCGTGACCATCCGCCAGGACTTAGAAAACTCGCCTAGGCACGAGAACCGCATGGAGAACTTGGGCACAGAGATTCCCAAACCCTGCCCGAGATTCTGAGTCGGCAGCTGTGGGGAGGGACCTGAGGCTCGGCCTCTCCAGCAGGCCCCCAGGTGACGCAGCCGCTGCCGTCTAGGGGCCAGGAAGGCTCTGTGCCACGCCTTTCTCTTCAACTCTGGCGGCATCTGGCCGCGTAAGTGCATGAGAATGAAGTTATTTTAGAGAAATCTTATATCCAACCTAAGTTCTAAGTAAATGAGGCCCCAAATCTGCGAGTTCACATATGACTTCATAACCAACTCCTTCGACTGGTCCCACAGCTCACAAATGAGCCCCCCTGGGTGATCCGACAGGGGGTGGCACTGACACAGGAGCCGGGCCAAGCATCAGGTCACCCCCTGAAGGCTCCTTGTCATTGGCTCTCTGCCCAGAACCTGCCTTTGGAAATACCTAAACCCACCCAATCGATTCAGTCACGTTACTTTCTTATTAACCAGAGACAGCTGCCTGCCAGCAGGTGCGCCCGCCTCTGGGGGGTTCAGATGATAAAACACATCCTTTGTCGTGAGAGGCAATGCAAAAGAAAACCACATCCCTTTTTGCAAGCACACCTTCTCCTTTGTGGTCCCCTCTCTCGTTCTAAAGTGGCGGTGACGGTGCTGCCCGGTGCTTCTCTCTCGTTTGTCTCCCTGCACACTAGACACTGTGTGCACCTTACAAGTGGGTGTGGCCTCATTGCCGGGGGCGGGGGGTGCAGGGGGCAGCCGGAGCCAGGACTGAAGAGGAGCTCTGTCAGTTACCAAGTTGAACCAGTGTGACTTCTGGAAGCAAACTTGACAGGCCAGGGGAACCAGGCTGGGGAGCTGGCCAGGGGGTTCAAGGATGGACTGGCAGAGTAAGTCTTTGCTCTCTTTCTACCAGCAGAATCTTTCTCCAGATGTTTTCAGACCACTACGGGGTCCTAGACAAACAGTGCTAACTCCAGCCTCTTCTCCACATCAGGGGGCAGGAGGGAGGAAGGCAAATAAACAGCAAGATTTGCTGGTCCTCAGCTGCCCACCTGCCAGGAGACGCATATGGCAGCCTGGCTCTCCCTCACGTCCCCGAAGACAGCAGGGCCACTCGGCAGGTCACAGGGGCCTGGCATTCACAAGAAGGGCTGGTCTAGGGGCTGGCGCAGGGGTTTCAGGCGGGAAGGGGTTATCCCGAGGGCAGTGACCATCAGCTCCCCAAGGCCTGAGTGTGGTCCAGGCTCCACCCCCTGCCAGCCGAATGGAGTGTTCCGTACCCTGCTTCTCTTAGCTGGAAAGTGAGGCTGTAATCGTAGCCCAGGTGAAACTACTTTGAGGACTAAATGGAAAAGCCGAGGTGGAAAAGAGGCTTTTATTAATTATGGCAGGGAAAGGAACAAGGGAGAAGATCAAAGACAGGTTCTATTTTTCTCAGTGGTAGCCTTCTTGCTTTTTTTTTTTTTTTAAAAAAAGAACATTGTATTGTTTTAAGTAGAACAGTAAGCTATTTAAAAATCATATGAATGGTAAAGTTCCCATATATATATCCATCTTCATTCCTGGACTGGATGATTGGTCTGACTTCCATGAATGGAAGCTAGGCGGAATTCCTCGTTACCGAATGAAAAAGGCACCCCAGAGTCTTCACGGTTTCTAGCAAGAAGACGGAAACACGCGGGAACGGTCTAACACTTCATTTATCAACCTTGCCCATTATCTTTCAATTAATGACATTTGAGTTTTGCAGTGTCTCTGCTTCTTGGCTCTCTAACCATTGTAATAACACCAACAATACTGGTAAGCTCAGTCTTCTCCCAGGCCACCCCACGCTGCCCCAAACGAAGCAGTTCTGAGGAGAAAGTTCATTAAGAGCAGAGAGTAGCAGAGATCGTAGGAGATTTGGGTCCAAATTAACCCTTCAACACTCAACAGTCGGGCATCCTTAGTGATGATTCAGAGAGAAAAATATAGATGTAAAGAGAGGTGGGGAGTGAGGGTTAGAGAAAGGCCAACTAAGCATGGCACGTCTTTGTGAAAATTAACAGCAATGAAGGAAATTTTGTCATGGTTTTTCCTACCAAAAATGAATAAATAAATAAGACCATACAGAAACGTAAATCTGTGCAGCCACTTTGGAAAACGCTACAGCAGTTCCCTCAGCATAGAGGGACCCAGAAACTCCATTCCTAAGTATACACCCCCCAATACTGAAATGGATTCAAGTAAATACGTAGACACTAATGTTCACACATTGCTCAGAACAGGCAAAAGGTGGAAACAGCCCAATTATCCATCAGCCAACAAGTGAATAAAGGACATGCCGTATATCCATACAACGGAATATTACTTGGCAATAGAAAGGAACTGAGTACTGATACAGGCTACCAGATGGATGAGCCTTAGGAAGATTATGCTATAAAAATAAATAAGTTGAACACAAAAGACCACCCATTGTGTGGTTCTATTGATATGAAATTTCCAGAATAGACAGATCCACAGAGAGGGAGCAAACCAGTGGTTGCCAGGGGCCGGGGGGAGGGAGTGTGGAGAATTTCTTGGGTTTGGGGTTTCTCTGTGGACTGATAAAAGTGTTCGGGAATTAGATTTAGTATATCACAAAATTGTATACTGTATACTTGAAAATCATGAATTTTATGATATGTGGATTATATTTCCACCAAAAAAAGTTAAAAAAAATAAAAGACCACAGCAGAGCATGTATGCACACATGAGCTAGAGACGACTGAGGACTCCCCAGACAGCTGGTTTAAGACAATAAGGTACCTAAATGCACAATTTGTGACCCTTAGAATTAAAAAAAAAATGGCTCTGGCTGGCGTGGCTAAGTGGATTGAGCACTGGAAACCTGCAAACCAAAGGGTTGCTGGTTCGATTCCCAGTCAGGCCAAATGCCTGGGTTGTGAGCCAGGTCCCCAGATGGGGTGCGTGAGAGACAACCACACACTAAGGTTTCCCTCCCTCTCCCTCTCTTTCTCCTTCCCTTCCCCTCCCCCTATCTAAAAATAAATAAATCAAATCTTTTAAAAACTGTATATAAGCAATTCTTCTATATCTGAAAATACAGAAGACAAAACAAAAATAGAACATAAAAATTATCTGTAGGCACAGCCCCCCAAAATCAAACACCAGAAACCTGTTAGCATAAGCTTCCAGGAACAGATGTGAAATTGCTCTTACCATTCCAATAGGCAAAGTTGGTCCCACCGATAAACATGTACCTGCAAGGAGACAGGAGAACGGACTGTACTTCACTGTGTGCTGACAGCTGAGGGGGGGGTGCCCTCCCCTCCAGAAATGAACACTCACAAGTTCACGTTCGCTCCGCGGGCAAGTATATCCTGGAGGGAGGACACTACTGCTTCAGTCTTGACTGTCGAGTGAGGTTGGCCCCAATGGTCTAACCAGCCAGTATAGAACTCAGAATTGACCTAAAAAGAGAAAGGGACATGGAGTTTAGGATTGAGTCATGACCTTCAAATGCTGGGGCTATTGCCCTGTAACTATCGCCCCAGATTCCCCACCATGGAACAGGTAGAAGGGGGAGTTGACGTGCGCTGCTCAACCCAGGGCTGGGGGACCAATGAGGACTTCCAATAATAGCAGCATTGCCCAAACTCGGTATTCAAGCACCGGTAACATGGCATTCCCGAAAAGCTCTACCTGCATCAAAATTTTGCATGTTGACTTAAAGTGAGGTCAGCCTGTCCAAGTGTTCTAACAGGCAGGCCCCAGGCACTTCACGTTTCTCCTGGGCATTACTCTGCTGAGCCCTGGGTCTGGAGAAGGAAGAAGGAACCAGGGCGTGTTCTGGGGCCTCCTCATCTCAGGTAATAGCTCCATCCAAAGGCTATGAGTATGGGTTCTGCACTGCTCACTAGGCAGAGGCCAGATGCAGAAAAGGCTGTTTTGCACAAAGGTCTGCAGACAGGGGGGCCGCCTGACCCGCTGCAGAGAAGGCACAGGACATAAGCTCGTAAGCTGGGCTGAGTCACAGCAAATTGTGTGGAGAAGGAATGAGCAGTGATGGATTGATGGACTATACACGCCTTCCTGGACCTCGTCAGCACCTCCTCCTCCTCCTGGCTGCCCACACCGCATGCCACAAAGCCCAGCAACTCAAAGTGCACTCAGCAAACCTGCGCCCAATGCCACCTGGTTGCCTGTCAGAAATGCAGAATCTCAGGCCCCACCCCAGCCCCAGTAGGTCAAAGTCTACATTTTAACACGATTCCTACGTAATTCATAAGCACACTGAAGGTGGAAACGCAGACCTGAACTCAGATCCTGGTCTTGCCACTCTCCAGCTGCACAACTCTGGGCGAGTGACATGTCCCCTGAGCCCCACTGAAAATGGAGACAATGATACTACTTATGAGAGTTGCTATGGGACCAACTGGGATGAACAGGCAAGAACACCGAGCCTGGTGGCGGCAGAACATTCATGTTAGTCCCCATTCTGTCTCACCCCAGGGCAGGGCCTGAGTTTCAAGCAGGGGCATTGCCACTGCTGTCACTCATGTGTCCAGAGGGCTATGTCCCCACAGTCCCGGAGCCAGAAAAACCACGGATCTGTTCCCACCTTCTACAGCACGTAACCTCTCTCCCGGCAACTGTGATGAAGTTGGTACAAGCAATCTCTCCACAGTCACTCCCGATTCTTACCAAGGGTCCTTTGGGCTCATACTTCCTCTGGATTAGGAAAGCATCTGTGATGTTGGCACCTAACATGATCAGAAGGAGAAAAAAGGTCAGTTGTGGGAATAACATGAAGTTCAATAAAAAGAGCCCTTCCCAGGACTTGAACCCGAGGTCCCAGCACCTCCCCACACTCCCATGGGCCTGGAACACCCCGAAGCTAGCTTTAGGCTGCACTCAGACCAGTGGACGTGTGGGCACCACAAAATGTTGCCTTCTCTCTGAGCAGGTCCCCATGGCTTCTTGTGGCTGCATTGCCTTGGGAGTTTGCTTCACCTGAGTCTTCTTCACCTGTGTTTGCCCACGGCCTGGACACGTCTTGTGCAAGTCACTTCACATGGACATCTGGTCGACCCAGACATTCCCCACAGGGTAGCCCTGCTCGGAAGATGCTTCCCGGTAGCCTCCACAGCGCCACACACAATAATAGTGCCACAAAGATTTGCCAATTAATCAGTGGATCAAAGGAATGAATGGGGTCTAATTGTGTCTATCCCTAAATAATGGTGTATGTCTGAATTTTAATTTGTACACATCAGCTATTTGCTCTCCATTTTCCTTCTGAAATGTTCCTTAGGATGCCTGTGTCTTGTCTTCCCACACCTTCTCTTCTCCTTTCTCTAAAAAGAAGAAGAATTTCTCCACGGAGAGGTCATGGCTGCCTTGCGTCAGTGAAAGAATGAGCGTGAATAGTGTCTCTCCCAATAGAGCAGAGGATACCCTGGTCCCAAACTTCACGGTCCAGGCACCCCGAACTTCACAGCAGGTATCCCCGTGTGGAAGTGACACCGGCCAAGACCTCCATACGACCCCTTGCTCTCGGATGGCCCTTGGCTTCTCGGTAAGACCAGCTTTCAGGAGACAGTGTGCTGATCAAGAAAGAGTATGGTCGCATTCTACCTTCTGGCGGTGAATTTCTCACCATTAAGCATTAGGTGGTGTTCAGACCTTTAGTGTCTCTTCTCCCGAGTCTCCTCCCGTGACCTGACCTCCATCCAAGGCCCCGTTGCCACACGAATGAATGAAGCCACCACAAGCCCCCCTGCCCCAGGTTCACTGGCCTTGCGGTGGTCTGCCCTTCCACCCGCAGGCAGCCATCCCTCTGTCACCCCACCTACAAATAATGCTTGCAGCACACTCGTGACAATCTTCCATTTGTTCCTCCCAACAGAAAACGCTGCAACGGGGAGGCAGGAGGGTACGTGACGGCAGGAGGAAACCCGCACGCCACTTCCTGTGCAGATCTCTGGAGACGAGTTCCTTCCTCACCACCACCAGGTGCTCTGCACAGTGTGCGTGTTTCAAGAGACACGCGATCCGCTTAGAGCTGAAAAGAACTCTTTTCTTTTTCGGTAATGCAGAAGAATCTCCTTAAAGAATGCAATTACACCCTTCTCAGGAGAAAGAAAGCACAGAGTGTGTTTTCCCTTGGATGGGAGAGCGGCGTGGTCTCGGTGCCATTTGAAGAACGTCCTTTTTTGGGGGTGGGAGGGTGGAAAGAGTTTAACTTTAAAAAAAAATTAATTGCAAACTCAGAGAAAAGTCATGAGAATAGTACCAAAACTCATATTCCTTTCACCCGGGTTCTGCAATCGTTAACATTTTACCACATTTACTTTATCGGTTCCTTTCTCTGTGTAAGAAGGTGCCTATTTTGAAGTCATTCGCGAACAAGTTGCAGACAGGAGGGCCCTTTTCCCCTGTACTTCCGTGTGCTTTCCTAAGAGCCAGGGCCGCCTTCCAATAAACCCAACACACACCTTACGACCCAGGAAATTAACATGGCTACATTACTATTTCCTAATTAATCTACAGACTACATGCAGATTTCAATGGTCACAATGGTGTTCTTTGCAGCAAAAAATAAAGAGAAGGGTGGCCGAGTCCAGTCCCGCAGCCTCTTTGGAATCACATGCTGCTGTTCCTGTCCTTTATGAAAGCTGCTCTCAACCTAAATGAAGACTCTCCTAATTACAGCCAGAAGCTAATTATAACCAGAAGCATCCTAGCCACGCTGCCCCCCACCCCAACCCCTGCAAACTTTTATTTGTGGAACCTCTGCAGCTTATGTGGCACCCACGAGTCAAGCAGGATGAGTTTCGTAGCATTTACCAAACCACCTCTGGCCCACGAGAGAGTTCATGGTGAGAGTTCCTAGTGCTCTGACTTATACAGAGAGGTAATGAATGTGGAAAGCAAGTTCCTGCCCTCCAGGGCTGACCTCAGAGCTCACTATGGCCAGGACAGGGCCCCCGAGCACCCAGCCACGACTGGGGGGGCACGGAGAAGAGCAGTGTGTCCCAGACGGAGCCTGAAAGATGACTGACTCAGGGTCAAGATTCTCACAGCTGGAACAGCTGCTGGGCCCGCCAGCCCCGGAGAGAGCCGTGCTCCAGGTTCAAGGCTAGCTCCGCCAGCTTGGAAAACGGACCTCTTGTCCTACAGACCAAATCGGCTTCAATAAAGTAACCTTAGCAATGGAGGGGGGCTTTGTCAATTATTCTGTTGTACCTATTACTGGATAAAGGAAAATGTGAGGAATCTCATTCGGTGGCCCCATGCCACTTCCTATGACGGCTGCCCAGAGCAATCGGCTGGTGACGCAGCGAGGGCTGCACGCCAGGCTGTAACCCGGTTTCGTGTTACTCGGGCACAAATACCGACCTGGTCCAAAGTCCACGGTGGCGTACAGCCCCTGCAGCGTCCCGCACTGCACTAGCTTCTCGTTCGAGCCGTCGGTGGTGAACAGGACCACGTCGTTGCCCAGGTGGTAGCGGAAACGCTTCTGCAGGAAGCGCAGGTAGTCGAAGTCACAGCTGAAGTAGCTGCCATACTCGTTTTCAACCTGCAAGTTAAAAGAACAGAGGGAAAAAAAAATCAGAGATTCCAATGTAGTCATTCTAATGAACGATTTTGTTTGGACAGGATACCTAAGCATGTATTTTGACATAACAAGGCTTAAAGATTGCCACAAATATCCCCTACACTCAGTCCTCGAAACTCATTTTCCAAAAAGCAGCTCAGCGTAAAAAACGTACCGCTCCACCCAGAAACAAGAAGAAAACAAAAATCACCATGCTCGGCATTGGACTGTAGTGATATTCTACGCTGTGATAGAGAAGAGATCCTGTAAACGTCCCATAAATAATACCTCCCCATGGTAGAAATATTAGAAGATGGAGAAAAATGAACAGAAAATGGAAAAATCACCTGTTAATTTTATTACCCAGAGATAACCACCGTAAGCGTCTGGCATAGTCTTCCAGATGTTCACACACACACACACAGAGTAAATATACACAAATGTGTACACAAATGCACAGTGGAGCTCCAGGCTGGGCTTCCTGCAGATGTCAGGCGAGAGCGCCAAGGGCCCTGACCACCCTGGGGCAGGGGTCTGAGCCTGCTGGTAGGCATCGTTTCAGTCCTGCCGGCTGACCCGGCTCCTCGGTGGCCTCGTCAGAATCTCCGGGCACCAAGAGAAAACACCAGCCTGGTGAACTGAGTGAACTCATCCTGCTGCTCCTTGCCCTGAAGGAGGACGGAGCTACCAGCTTTTACAGGAACGCCCACATACGGAGCCACTGGCGACCAGTGCCGGCTTCCGTCTTATCCGGCCACCTCTGTTCAATCCCAGAACCACTCGGTAGGTGTGCGATGTGGACGCACCTGGGATGTGAGCTCCTGGCTGCCAGGAAGACGGGTGGGGAGCAGAAGTGACTAGAGGCACACCTGGGCAGGGACGGAAGCAGACCGACCTCCATAAATGGTCCGCAGACAGAAGCACTAGCCGCGTGTTCCGAGCCAAGGGGATGCCAATGGAGTGGACTGGGAAGGCTTTCGAGCCGAGAGGACCTATGGGGACCCTCACAGGACAAGAGGGCAACCACGAGTCTGGAGCGTAAAGACTTCTTAATGATGTGGAAAAATGCTTACGACATAAGAATAAACTAAGAAAATATAGTCAGGTAAGAAACAGTCCATACAGTATGAACTGACTGTAAAAAGAAATTTTTAAAGGCATTGACAAAAATTTAAGGCATTCTACCCCCAAAATGGAAAGACCTGAGCTTTGCTTCTGGCTCCTGATGTTTAAATGCAAATTATGGGGGAGTTTTTTCTTATGTTTTTTTTCTGTATTTCCCAACATCATGTACTTGCTCATTTGGTGATCAGGGGGCAAACGGATCAGGTGGGACTGAGGCGGTGGCCATGTGAGGGGGAGCGGAGGAGGAGGGAGCCGAGTCCACTGGCAGGATCCACATCCGAGATAAAGGCATCTGAGGTTACCAGGGGTGGTCACAGAGGAAACACGCCCAAGACAGTCAGCTTTGCTCTCCTGTGCAAGTTCACGGTCGATTACATTCTTGTGATATTTTGATAACCAAGGGTACAGAAAAGTTGTGATCAGAAACTGAAAGTGATCTAGGGAGAAGCAGAGACTTTCCCTAAAAACGAGGGAAAGTAAAGTAAACCCGTGATCAGGAGTAAGGCAGAAGACCCAGCTGTGCAAAGATGCACCCAACTTTCAGACCAAAGTCTGTATACAGGAAATGGGCTCCTAAAGGTTTAGCCAGTTCAGACTCGGGACAGAAGAGGGGTCCTGAGTGCTACTTGTACATATTTTGGGGAGCAATGGCCTGGCTTTAGTCTGCCATGCATGTCAGAATGGACACCCTGGCCAGCTCGCCCTCTCATTGCTCCTTTGAGCTACCGGAAGGGTAAAGGAATGGCCGTGTTCTTTCCCCCCAATGACAGTCCCTGCACACTGTCCATAATTCATAAGAAAGAAGTCTGGCCCACGCTCCCTGAGGGAGCACCCCACTACACCATGGTGCATCTTGTTCCAGGATGCAGCTAGTTTGACATAACTATTCTTTTCAATACGAACATCCGTGGTAACAGCCAGTGAACATGGTTTGGTGTTTTAAGTTCCGTTTACAAATAGCTAAAATCGTTGCAGTTTGAGTGTCCTGATTTTTCACATAGAAAATACAGGCCATGTGATATATCCCAGAAAATACCACTCTTTGCAGAGAGGAATACTGATGGGAGAAGGACTGTGGAGGACAGGAAGCAAGAAAACACGATGGCCCAGTCCACCACCTCGTTCTATACCTGTGTGAACTGGCTGCCCATGCGGGGCGGTCACCCAAGTGGCTGGGTTCGTGCCACATCCTTGCAGCCAGAAGGCAACACGGGACGAGAGAAAGAGACAAGTGGACCTGGGGTGCTATGCTGATTCTACCACCTGCCAGCTGGGTGACCTTGGCCAAGTCACTTCATCTCTTTGACACTCTTCATTGAAAAGAGACAGTGGTTGGATTAATTGAATAGCATGTAGAGGACATCCAGGAGAGAGCCTGGTACCCAGCAGGCCTTCAAAAACGGTCAAACCTCCCCCAACTGCAATTTAAATTGAAGCAGCATCCGTGGCGCTGCCTCCTAGACAGACAGACTCATGCAGCCCGGGTCTGCATCACCCCTGTATCCGTGGAGAACGGAGGGAAGCCTCCCCCCACCGCCAGCCCGTGCTCATGGTTACCTGCACTGTTATAATCGGCCCTCCATTCTGATAGAGGAGAGGCTTCATCTTGGGCAGGAGGACCCCCAACCACTTGTCCACAGCTGCAAGGTAATCTGGAAAACAAGACAGGTGTAGCACCATCACGCTCCTTTTAGTACACACAGACACAACACAGCCTTGCAACCTGGGGGCCAGCAGCAGAGATCAGATGTACTGGATTCAGCATCGACCTTCTGAAGTGGGGTCACTGCAGGCACTAAGGGTCAGATAAAAGTTGTCTTGCAAGGAGCCGTCTCCTCTGATGAGCTCTCAGTGGACAAGGACCAGTATGCCTGGTATCTGTCCCTGTCACTAGGACACAAAGCCTGGAGCACAGGAGGCATGCTGCCGGTGTGAGTTAAATGAAGAAAAGGGTGACGGAAGAGTGTGTCCTCCTCTCTGTCACAGGAGGGTTTTTTTCTTTTTACAATTAAGTTCCAACAAAGGTAAATACACACTGTCCAAGGGAGATAATAAGTACCTACTTACAGAGTTGCCTCACAGATTCAATGACATAATACATGTGAAGACACTAATAATAACACACTAAGAGGGCAAAACGTGCAGGGAATACACGCAGAAGGAAAAGTGCATAGAGCACAGTGCGCCAGCCTCTGGCCCAGCGAACTCAGCGTGAGCTGCTCCGGGACCACCTGCATCACCGCCACCAGCAGGAGAAACTGAAACCTCCAGAAGACAGACATGCAGCTCATTGGGTTTCCAGCTAAAATAATTTCTGGTCGTTTACAGAAACAAGAGAAAAGGCCTATCATTTACGTATCCCTCTGCAAAAGTAGACCAAGGAACAGAAAGCGTTGCAGCTGCCCAGCGGTCCAGGGCCACCGCTCCAGACCCTACACCTGCCGGGCGGATTGGCTAGATGCTCTCACCTGCCCTGCGACCTCCTACGAATACGGGAGGGAGAGCATTCAAATCAGTCGGCCACCCGCAAGGAGGGCCCAATGCTGATTCGAATTTTCATGAGTTTGTCAGCGAGATCTGGTCAAGCATTTCAAGAAAGCTTGTTCCCTACACGTCCACTGTCTGGTGTTGTGTGGATGATGGTAAAACACTTGCACTCGACTTTCTGAAGCATTTGCGAGGACGTACCCCAGCCTTCCAAACACCCAAGTCCTTTGACATAAGTTGTCTGAGCTTTCGTAAGTTCTCTTGAGACATCTGAGACCACTTACCCAGATCGGAAGAACGGAGCACCATACTTTCCTTCTCCAACAGCCACGCAGGCAGTCCTCCCTTGGATGGGACAGAAAAAAGGGAGCCGTTACAAGGTCCATGTCAGGAAAGGCGCTTGCAGGGGGACAGAAACTACTAGCAGCAGCGAGGGGAGGCAAGTTTCATGGAGAAGCGGCCCTGGAGGTGGGCTTTCTGATTCGGGAACTTCTGGGGAAAATAGAAATTGCACCATCATGGTACAAATAAGGTCACTCTTCAGGAATGCAAAGTTGTGAGAATCATAGCCATTTACGTAGATTATTCTACTTAATTTCACAGCTACCCCGTGAGGCAGATAGAGCCCCACACCATTACCCGCTTTTCCCAGTGAGGAAACTGAGTTACGTGAGTGCCCGCCAAGAGGAGGACCTGGACCTCCGGCCCGTAGCCGGTCCTCTCTGCCTGGGCACCTCCCAAGGGTAAAAACACCTACACTGGCCCCAGTCACAGGCCCCGTGTTTTCTGGAATTAGCGAGTGGCTGAAACTGCTGTAATTCCCTCCCCCCTGCCCCAGCCCCTGCCTGCCGGCCCACCCCCGTCTCGTGCACCAGGCAGGCAGAGCCCCGCCTGGCCGGCTGTGCTCACCATCTCCCACTCCGCGCAGATGTAAGGCCCGGGCCGCAGGATCACGAGCAGCTCCAGCTCATGTGCCAGCTGAATGAAGCGCTCCACATCGTGGTCCTCGGAAAACTGGTACTGCCCTGGCTGGGGCTCGTGAAAGTTCCAGGGCACGTATCTGCCAAGACACACACACACAGCCCCTTCCTGGAAACAGCCCAATGGTCCGTCCGGATGCCCTGCACGCACTTCCCAGCCGTCTGCAGAACAGCGAACCTGCAGGGTGCTCAGGGCTGTCCGCGAGGCAGCCTCTGGGGAGGAGGTCTCGCTGTGAGCTTTCAGGGCAGCTACCCACAGAAATCTAACTTGGGGCAGGGACACTGTCACGTTCATGACCCACAGAGAATGTCCACTCCTATTTACTGCCTGACTTTAAAAAAGGTGCAGAAGTACGTGAACACGATTTATTGCTATGTACCAATTGTATATATGCCTGCGCAAGGCTCATGAAAAATGAAAATATCTGTGCTAAAGTGATGAGGTGGAAAGTCAGTGTCACTTAATGATGGGGAAATGTTCTGAGAAATGTGCCGTCGGGCTATTTTGTCGTGGTGCAAACACCAGAGAGCATACCTGTAACAAGCCTGGGTGGTCTAGCCCCCTGCTCCTAGGGGACAAGCCCGCATAGCAAAGCCACCTGTGACGAGATCCCGCATGAGAGACGATGATGCAGTCAAGAGCCACGGTACACAGGAGGTGGATGAGGCTGCTGCCAGGGTAACATGGCATACTGTTTTACAGCAAACTCTTTTTTAAATAATAACTAAAACTACTACACTCTGAAATAACAATAGAGCCCTGGCTGGCGTGGCTCAGTGGACTGAGCTCCAGCCTGCAAATCAAAGGGTCACTGGTTTGATTCCTCGTCAGTGCATGTGCCTGGGTTGTGGGCCAGGTCTCCAGTTGGGGGCATGAGAGAGGCAACCGACTGATGTACCTCTTGCATGTGGATGTTTCTCTCCCTCTCTTCCTCTCTCCCTTTCCCTCCCTCTAAAGATAAATAAATAAAATCTTCAAAAAAAAAAGAAGAAAAAGAAAACATAGGTGTAAATCTTTGACCTTGGATTAAGCAATGGTGTCTTAGCTATAACACAGAGAGCACAGGCAACAAAAGAAAAAGTAGAGGGAGGAACACCGTGCAGGAGGTAAAAGTCCCTACCAGCTCCCCTGCCTGCCTACAGCATGGACTATACATTTACATACGAAGCCACACCTGGTCATCAGAAAGGTCTCTGGTGACCCTGGCTTGTGTCCTTTCACCACGCTCCTAGGGTTGCAGGGTTTCCTAGAACTGACGGTCTTCGTCCCCTTGAACATACGCTTGAGACGATACACAGGCCCGGTGGCCTTACACCCAGAACAACAGGTGGGGTTCCCCCTAATTTATCTGTCCCAGGAATCTGCCTCTGGGTTTTCTAGTTCTTTATTTTTGCGAAGTTGTTGGCAATTCACACCAGCAGTGTAAAAACCAGAGTGGCCAGCCACCTCAATTCCTCCCCGTTAGTCACCTTGCAACGAGAGAAGAGGAGAGATGAGGAGAGATAGCTATTGGGGTAATTCTATCACCCCCCGGCTGTAGACTAAACCCAAAGAACCCTGGGGACAGGCTGGGTTTCAGGAATCTACCTGATGAGGCACATTACCCCTAAGAGCTGAGAGAAGGTGGGACTGCTTACAAACACCCTTAACTTCACGTCCTAGCTGGGCCTCTGGCTAAAAACATGGGCTCGGGAAAGCTTCATTTCACCAGCTGCCAACGGGAATGGGAACACCTTGAAGAAATAGACTCATGCATGTGAGCCCCGCACATGGCCCGCGCTCCATCATTGTTACTTCCCTTTGCCTTTTGAAGCCGACATTCATTTTATGATTTCTGGCCATGAACTTCAAGCCGGGAAGAGGGGATGAATTATCTGAAGAAGGGCCAGTCGAGCTCGTGACAAGCCCCCCCAGAACACCAGACGAGGCTCTCTCTCATTCTGAGCAATGAAATAGTTGCATTGAGAAGCACCCTCTCTTCTCCTGGCGGGAGTCTGGGCCCAGGTGCGAGCCCAGGGCCCTCCTGCTTACATCTGGATGGCGTTCAGCCCAGCCATCTTCATCTTCAGCAGCCGGTCCTTCCAGTAGAAGCGGGGCACTCGGAAGTAGTGGATGCTGCCCGAGATGTAGCGGAACGGTCGGCCGTCCTTGAGGAAGCAGTTGCGGTTGTAGTCGATCGTGAACGTCTTCTGGGAGACATTCTACAGAGCAAGGATGAGAACTGTGTTACTGGTGGAAAACGAGTTTATTGCAGTGTCTAGAGGAAAAGAACTTCCTGAGACCCACGAGGGAATGGGGTGGTGAACTTTATTGATGATGTAAAACTAAGGAGTTCCCGTCCTGACTTCCTAAAGTCCCATCTCCACCCATCCCGCCATTGAAAATGCCCAATCTGGTCTTTAGTAGGGCCAGTATGAAAGCCACTGCCCAGAGTTTGGGCTCCACATTAAAGTCCAGTCCAGTCCAGCACCCGGCTGGCTTAGCGTGTGTTTCCAGCTGCGGTCCACTGCTGTGCTGCGGTCTTCAGGCTCCCCCCTGGAGCCTGCGTGGGGGTCCACGTGACCATGACCATGGGCTGTGTGGCTGTTAGGGCAACGTGTGAGTGCAGGTCATGAGCAAGAGAGAGAGAGAGAGAGACAGGATGCTTCTTTGTTCCCCTGAGATTATATCAACTTGGGCTTGGAAAAGACCAGCAGCTTTTTAAAAATGACCAATATCCCGGGCTTTCAGGGGCTTTGGAGGGGTCTATACCCCCTAGTTAAGACTGACAAGCCTCTAGGGTGCGGCATCTCCCCTCAAGCCCCCAACAGTCTGGTACCAGAGTGGGGAAGGGAGGAGTGTTAGTCTCCTTGGCGGAGAAACGCTGTGCTCCCACGGAGGGTGAAAAGCTGCAGCTTCCTGGGGAAGCAAACAGGCTTCTGCCCCCAGTTTTATTAAGCTCAGTGTCTAAGTCCCTTTACCCCACTCTCCTCATTAACATTAATTAAATCCCTGCTGTAACACTTGCACCTTCAGCCTTTTGGAAGTAGACAGTTTGACAATGGTGAGTGACTCCCTGCCTGTTGAATTGCATCACGTACCGACAGAGTTCATGGTCGGTTTCTGGGCTATAGAGCAAACCACGGCCAAGCCAGGCTCACCATGTTTCACTCAGGAAACCGAATCACCAAGGAGGCTCCCCACGAGGGATTCCACAGAGCTGACCTTGCAGAGTCTAGCACCGACTTGATAATCAGTGGTGCAGACACAGAAGTTAGATCCCCGCAGAGGAAACCCTGCTGGTTGTGACCCTTCTCTTGGTGTAGCAAAGCCCAGTGCACTGGGAACACCACACGCATACACACACACACACACACACACACACACACACACACACACACACACACGTGCACACCTCCCGCCCTGCGGCTGTGACCTGCCAGAGCGCCGGGTGTACCAGAGCAGCAATGGCAGTGGGCTAGCGGCGGCAACAGAGTGAAAGTCTGAGGCCCTGAAGCCTCCTCATCCCAGGTGTTGTTCTAAGTTCCACAGTGACTCAGGCAAGTCCCTCTGTACTGCAACTCTGTACTTCACCCATAAATGTGCAGGATGTCAGACTAAGTGAACCCTAACGCAATATTTTCCTCCTTGTTGGCTGTGACCCAATTTGTGAGTCATGAACTCAGTTTAGATGACGATGCCAATAAAAGAGAGAAGGACATTGAGTGTGTTGCATGTAGTAAAGACACGTATTATTTTATGAAATGTTTATTATATAATGCGTACACAGAATTGCATATGTATGCCTGTCTCTATAGGGTTGTGATATAAGATGTATTTTTAGCAGTCAAATCAAGTTTCAACAGGCACTTTTTTTTGGTGGGTCTTTAGAAGCTAAAGATGCTAGGACCTGAAAGGGAAGGGAGGCCCTAAAGGGGAAGCCAACAGTTAGGCGGAGGGCAATACTGCCCTCTAGTGGATGAAAAAGGCAGCAACAGGCTCCAGATGGCAACGGGACGGCAGCTACCATCATTTCATTGTTGATAAGATTCCTTGAGTATTTCTAGGCTTTCAAAGGTCTCAATATAAACTTTTAGAAAAAGTCCCTCTTCACAGCAGCATCACAGTCATTGAGAGCTTGGGGGTGCCTTGAGGTCACATCTGAAGCAATGGAGGGAGCGTGTGTCCTAGATCACACATAGCCTGAAGCCCAAGGCCATCAAGGCACTGTGACTGCATGTTGAATCACTCCAAGTAGATTGCTTTGGGTCAAATGGGGAGCTTCCCTGTATGTCAACTGCACCTCAATAGAGCGACCTCAACATAGAAAATAATACAGAATCATAAAATAATCATTTTAATATCAATTTACTCTTCTAGGAAACCAAGGCTTTAATTTCCATTTGAAGGCAAGATGCTCCTAAAGAAATGCACAAAATACAAAATTTACTTCATATATCAGGTGCCCCAATTTTGTAAACATTTTTACAGCCTATCTATGACAAATTGTCAAATAAGGGTTTCCCACAAGTCCTGTGAGTTCAAAGGGGGCCGATGAGTTGGGGGCGTTCTTTGCACCACTGTGGAAGGAGTAAGCCACTTCGGGCAGAACTGGGGAAAGGAAAGGACCGTTTGAAGCCCATATGTCTAGGAGGCGGAGTTCAGAAAAGCTGGAGAGGAGTTAGCAAGAGACGATGTTGGCAGAGCGTAGAATCTGGCCTTTGTCCCACATAGCACGGCACCATCCCTGTACGTAAAACCACGTCCAAATCCAGCCTAAATAGCTCCCTGTCACCCAGTTAGAAATATTATCAAACACCTGCTGAGTAAGCACAGGGCACACAGCCCACGTGAAGCTTCCGTCTCACTCGGAAGAAACCCAGCAGTTAGTTAGCACAGCGAGGCCCAGATGGTAAAGATAAGATCTTCACATTGTGCACCTTAAACTTATACAATGTCATCCATCAATTATATCTCAATAAAGCTGGGGATAAAAAGGGTTCAACCAGAAAGCTACAGTGGTAATACATGACATGTAACCCAGGCATGGGAGTGTGGGGGCGGGGGCAAATTTCCCAGAGGAAGGGCCACTCCAAACTGTGGTTCTCACCCTTGGCCAAACACCAGAAACCCTTGTGCATGCTTTTAAAAATAACAAAGTCAGGCCTCACCCTCCAGACATTTGGATTTTAATTGGTTTTGGGTGGAGTCCAGGCACTGGTATTTCTTAAAGCTGGCCAGATGTTGTAAGGTGCAGCAGGGTTGAGAGCTACTGGCCTAAATGAAACCCCAGGATGGAGAAGAGCTAGCTGAGGGGAACAGTGGCACAGACAGAGGAAACTCTGTGTGTGTGTGTGTGTGTGTGTGTGTGTGTGTGTGTGTGTGAGCCTGGCAGACAAGGGGCCGTGCAGGGCAGGAGCCATGGACCTCAGTGCAGACAGAGCGTGACGTCTGCTGACACAGCGCCAGGCAGGGGCCAGATCGAATGAGCCCTGAAGTCCATGTTCAAGGGCCTGGACTTAATGCCAAGAGTGGTGGAGAACAGCTTAAACAGAATGATCGAATCAAGTGTGTATCTTAAAATACTCGGGACTCTGGCCTTTTCCTGAAGTGGCAAAAAAGCAGAGACGTGGACCACGGCAGTGACGGGAGGGGGGCAGTGGGTGGGGGAGGACCCACAGGATGGGACTTGGTCACAGGTGTAGGACACAGCGGCTAACCTCTGGGGGCTCCACTGGCGCCAGGAGGAAAATTGTGAACATCATTTTTCAAAAAGAGAAAGAGAGACTTAAGAGACATCAATTTTTAAAAAAAGACTTCAAGGATATTAACACCTGTGAGTTTGTAACGATATACTGGGGGAAGAAAATTCGCTGGTCGCCTTTGGAGATTGCTGGATTACTCATTACTCTAAAAAAATGACAAATAAAAGGGAAGAACCAAGCTGTTTACTTCCCTTTCACATCAAAACTGTATTTCAGGGTAACCAAAAAGTGGACAATGGAAAATTTTCCACAGAATTCTTGCTAATACATGGAGATGGAAGCGCAGAATCTGAAAAACACCCTTTTCTAACACTTAGTAAAATAATGAATTTAAGCCAAATCATCAGTGGATGGCAAAACCATCAGCAAGACGGATAAAGAAGGGACCGGGCAGATTCTGTGCGATCCCTCTGCTCCGTGTCCGCCTCGTGAAAATGAAACGAGCAGACATCCCTGAACAGGAAGCACGCAGCGCCACCTAGAAGCAGTTCCTAGTACTGCACTTGAGGCTAGTGACACTAATGAAAGCAGTAAGGCAAATCCATCATGTGGGGCATCCCGAATGTCTCACTATAGCGCTGCTCTAGCAGACCGATGGTATTGAAATAAAATCAAACCCTAAAATATTGTGCGGAAATAAAAGAGCACGTAAGAAGCGTAACAACCTAACACAACGTGGGGACCTGGTTCCGATACCGATTCTACCTGTAAACACCACCACGCTGAAGTAGAAAAACTCTGAACACAGACTGGGCATTCGACTGGATTAAAAGAATTATTGCTAATTGTGTTGGGTATAATGATGGCGTGGGGATGACACAAAAGAACAAAAAATTCTTATCAGAAGTGTTTTAGGGCGATTACTGCATCTGAAGTTACCATAGACCACAAGTACAAAGAGCAGAAATAGCAGAGGGTATGCAGAGCAAAACTGACCGTTCTTGAAGCTGGCTAATAAATGCAGGGTGTTCGCGTCCTCTCTCTCTGCACTTTTGAAATTCTCCATAATAAAGCATGTTTTAACCATGCAATTACCCTTTCCACAATTTTTTTCCTGTGGGTATACTTACAAGTGTACTTTTTGTCGTTCTTACTGCAACACGGTTGAAGCCAAATTTCCCTTCAAGATAAAGGCTTTTTCTTAGTTACAAGAGAAGCAAAGGCATATGTTCATGAAAAGACATAAAACATGTTCATCGAGGCTTTATCCATAACAGTCCAAAATTGGAAACAACTGAAGTTCTGCTGATAGGAGAATGGGTAAACAAACTGTGGTATATTTACACGATAGAATGCTACTCAGCAATGAAAAAGGACTGCTGATATTGCAATAATATGGATAAATCTCGAAAATGTTACACTGAGTGAATAAAAATCCTGCCAGAGGGAGTCCAGACAGAGTGGACTTATTTATAGGAAGTTCTGGAACAGGCACATTGAATCTATGGTGGGGAGAA